CAGTGAAACCATCTAAAATGAAGTTTCACTGATGTTGAATGCAAAACAAAAGGTTCCAAGATGAGCTTTAAAAGAAGGTGATGAAGAAGCCTCTAATGCAGAGGTGCTGAAGTCTGGTCCTCAAGCGCTACCATCCTATAACTTTTAGATGATTCTCTTCTCTAACACACCTGAATCTAAAGGCTCAATCCCCTCATTTGGCTCAGCAGAGGAATGATAATGAACCACTCATTGATTCAGGTGTGTTAAATATGGCGTGCATGGAAAAAATGCAGGATAGTAGCTCTTGAGGACTGGACTTGAGCTCCCATGCTCTAATGTGTAGGGTTTGGTTTCCTATATATGTAAGTCTGAAGTTCAAATACTGCCCCAAGAGAGGGCACCTTTCTTTATTGAAGAAACATAATAAAAACAAATTTTGGTCTAATTCCAACAGAGCTCCTTCTTCTCCCTCATGTTAGCTTTGTCCAAACATGGCTAGAGACACAATGTAAACAGGACGCCCTGCTCTACTATAGAGGCCTGATATGTGGAGCGAATGACAGACAGACAGACCTTTGTCCTTGTGTGGTGATCAGAGCAAATCATCCTCAGCGTGGACCTCTGGGTTCTCAGTCTGGTTGTTCTCATGGTCCACAGGAGGTAATGGAGGTACAGGAGATTCCTCAATCATCAGCTCCTCAGTGGAGGAGGAGATACTTGATACAGATTTTAGATTTTGTAGATACAGAGGATTGGTCAGTGAGAAAGCAGAACAGGGGGAGCAGAAGCTGTTCAAACCTCCAAATATTTGAAAGCAGTTCAGCTTGTAAATGGAATCCAGGCATAATTCAAATGTGTTCATCTTTATTTCAAAAGCGTTTTAAAATACAATTAAGTTGGCCAAAGTGTTTTTCACATCCCAAATGATAAAATACAAGTTATACAATATAATAATAATAATAAACCAAGTAAAATAAAGCACATTTACAATGAAGCAAGCAAAAAAAAGAGAGCAGGTACATACTGTAGAAATTAAAAATAAAAATAACCTCTGAAACCTGGTAAAAAGCCAG